CTTCAGGTGCCACCGCCATACATTATGTTAGGCACAGGCAAGTACCTGAGTATAACCAACAAAGTTTCTAATAGTTAGTCTTAGAAAATGGTGTTAAAATTTGAATAAAATGTATTATTATAATATCAACGATCAATGAAATATAATTAATATTTTGGTTTAAGTGATATAATTACTAAATGACAATGCAATACCTGTAAATCAGTTAATAAACACGTTCTGGTTTACGTTTTAATATAGACCTTATTACTTTACCATGAAAATGAATAAATTTTTAAACAGGTGGGCAATTTGTCTCTATACATTAAACAAATTGATTCTTTAAATTTTCACAATGTAAGGTTTCTGCATTTATTACTCATAAATCCTCCATTAAATTGGAGTGTATACCTAAAATATTTAAAGCTATTTCATGTTCATATATTGAAAACAAAGTATTTAATCAATAACAATTCAATATAACACTACATTACTTGGTGTCAAGTTTCAATATGCAATAAGAAAGATCTAGTTGTTAAAACATTTCAAAAATTTAATCAGGACCATTGCCTTGTTTGTCTGATATAAATCAACTGTAAGAACATAAAGTGTCAATATTATGACAAAATATGAAATAGTGTTTGCCCTTTTAGTGACTTTATGTACAATCTGGCCATAACAAAGGCTTCATAACCTCTGACCCCCTTCCAAAGTTCAAATTTTATTTATTTCTGACCATTTTCTCTCTAAGTTGAGCACACTTGCATTCTTTAACTTGATGACCATATCCTGCTTTAAAATGTCATGAAAGTGACAAACTGATGGTTCCATAGTGACAAATAAAATCACCATTTTCATGCTAAAATGTTAACGACTTCTGCTTAAACCTGTGTTAGAGGCGTGGGTGCTTCCTTGCACAAATCACTGCCATTCATGAACATAGTACAGTGAAATTTGAGAAAACCGGACGCTGAGAAAATCGGAACTCTCTAAATACCGGACGAATAATTCAGTCCCAAATTTTCCCTTCTTTAAACTATTGTATTAAACATTGGCAATACCGGAATCTGTAAAAACCGAATATCGGACGGTTGATTGGGGACTACAAAGTCAATTATATAGACAATTACCCTGACAATACCGGACGCCACGGATTTATATTACGTTTATGTAATATAAATCCGTGCGCTAACAGAGTGGTAACGGAACAATAATTGTCTGATTTGTTTATAATATCTCTTTTATTGTAAGGTATAGATGTTACCGTTTTATATAAATGCCGAAATGCACTAGATATTGATCAGTAAAAATCGGTATGAATACAAAATAGAGTATTTTTCTATTGTGTTGCTTTTTGTATATTGACAACGCAACGGAAACGAAATTTATCTGCGCTAAGTTCTATTCCATGGCCGAAAATAATTCAACGAGAGCTGTCTACAAGTGACAAAGTTAAATTAATTAAAGACAGTGAAAATTTGCCGAAACCTACTTTAAAAATCTGACCAATATGATATTATTATAAACAAACAAAGTAAACTACGTTCGTTAACTCATTATCCATTACCCAAATGTAAACATATGCAGATGCACTCGGACTTGATCGTTATGAGGTAACTGCTGTTCATTTATATCCAAACATTTATTGTATTTCTATGCAATAATGGGACAAAACAATTAAAACATTTTTCTTGTATTTTTATCATTTCTTTATTTAGCAATATACGTACACATGATCTTGAAAATGCAAATATACAGCATCCTTTGTAAGTCATTGCTCGGTGATAATATAAGATCCTGAACAGCTGAAGCGGACATTGAGAATACCGGACCGCTGAGAAAACCGGACAAAACCCTCAGTCCGAAAGCCGTCCAGTTTTCTCAACTTTCACTGTACATAAAATCAAACCTAGCCCACAACATTTCAATTTTGCCTTTCTGGAAGTTTAATTTTTTTCTACATTTTTATATGTTGTGCAGAAACTATGATAATTGTGTTAATAAGTACAAGATCCATCTCCAAAGATTTTCATTGACTTTGTATAATTATGAGATTCCATCTTTCATTTCTTTTTTGTACGTAAATACCAGACCGAAAATAAATTTATTAAGCCCTTTCTTAAACCTTATCTCAATTAAATCTATTTGTATTTCTTTTTTTCCCAGTGGACTTGTGATTTTTTTTATATTTGTGTATTTCAAGACTCAGTAAGATTAAATACAAGAGCTGTCAGAAGGACAGCGCGCTCGACTTTTTTAGTGCTTGCCTATAAAACAAAACTTTGACAGTTAAGGGCACACAAGACTTTAACTAGGAATTTCTAAGTACAAATCAAGAAACATTTTCACAGAGTTATCTTCTCTTGCTTACAGATAGGTCTCATGATGGCACATAAGAACTCCAACTTCCAAAGTAATATCTCAAATGGTTAAGTCAACAAGTGGACAAGAATGAAAATTTTAACTGAGTTTCTAAGTCAAAAAGGGCCATAATTCAAATAAAATCCTTGACAGAATTACCTTCTCCTGCCCATGTTTTGGGACCATGATGGTAAACAAGTATTCCAACTTTCAAATTAATATCTCAAACAGTTCAGTCAAAAAGTGGACTGGTACAAAAAAGTTAACCAAGATTCTAAGTCAATAAAAGGCCTTAATTTTTAAAACAAATCCCTGACAGAGTTACCTTCTCTTGCGTACAGATGGGGGTAATGATGTGAAATAGCATTAAAAGTTTCAAAGCAATATCTCAAAGGGTTAAGGCAATAAGTGGATTTTACCCATATTCAATGTATTGTCTAAGTAAAAAAGGGGCATAATTCTGTCAAAAACCTTGACAGAGTTATGTCCTCTTGTCTGTTGACGAAGGTCGTGATGGTAAGCAAGTATGTTAGTTTCAAAGCAATACCTCCAATGGTTTTGAAATAGAGTGAGGTGGTACAAAAAACTTAACCAAGCTCAATACACTTTCTAAGTCAAAAAGGGCCATAATTCTGTCAAAAACCTTGACAGAGTTATGTACTCCTGTCTGTAGATGGAGGTTATGATGGTGAACAAGTATGGTAAGTTTCAAAGCCATACTTGTAATACTTCTGAAATAAAGTGGGGTGGTACGAAAAACTTAACCAAGGTGTGACGCCAACGCCGACGCTAACGCCGACGCCGGGGCGAGTAGGATAGCTCCCCTTTTCATAGAAAAGTCGAGCTAAAAATGGTCTGGTTTTGAACTGGAATAGATCTGCTTTTATTTAAGGTTACTTAGTCTGCTGTCTTAAATTTAAAGGAAGTCCACCGAGGTCCAAAAGCCTAAAACCATAAAATTTAATTTCTCACATAGATCAGCTGGGCACCTACTACAGGAAAATATGCAAAAGATAATCAAAATATATGCTGAGAAATACATACAAAAACTCTGATTTGAGTGAAATTGGGTCATTTTTTTATAATTACAATAAATATTCTGGAAAAACAAAGTAAGCGAATGATCTGAAACTTAATTTGCACACAAGTTGTTGGTCTAGACCTACATCAAATGGAACAATAATCTTGAAAAATTATTTCAAGTCCCATCTTGTGAAAAAAACCTCTGTGGAGTCCCTTTAAACTGCCATTTAAAAGTTGTTTATTCAAATCAATGACAATTAAATAAGCACCTGTAACACATAATGTAAATGACAAATTTCAAAGGGAGAAATCATCAATGCAGTTTTATAGATCGACTGACAGGTCAAATATGAAAATCTGTAATCCGAGATAATCTCCAAATCAATACGCCTGTATATAATCCTCTATACATTACATGTTTTAAATACCTAGATACAAGTTTTATCTTACCACATTATCTTCATAGAAATATGACAGGGTAAATGTCCAACAAAACATAATGACGGAGGAGTCAAGTTATATCAAGTTATGGCATTAAAACATTTTTTGATTGAAGCAGTAAAATTTTTTTATAAAAACTTGAATATTTCTATAACATGATTGCCAACATTTGCAAGCCACCTCTTCCTTAGTTGTAGATTTTTTAATGTATCGTAACATTGGTAAATTTAAAGAAATAGTAAATAGTTTGGCAATAAAAAGCCTAATTTAACCCCAAACAAATGATTGTTTTCAAAAATGCTGTTTTTTTTCCATAATAATCATTCAAATTACAGAATAGAGAAAAACAGAATTTAAAATGTTGTGACTTGAGTAAAGGTCATATTGCGACTGTCCAGCTTTACTGGTAGAGGAAGCGCAAATGGGGACCTGAGTAGAACCATCAATGTTCAGTAAGCTAGCTTGCTAGCCTCCTTACATGAAGGAATCCAGTCCTTGTCGGGATTCAAACCAACTGCAGTGAGGGATTTTGTTTATATATGTATGATAACAATGCATGTACATTTTCTGAAGACCTATTAGAAGTTATCAAACTATAACTATTTCTTACATCCTTTAAATCAAGTCCCTTCACTGTGACAATGTTAGCAATAATATTACTATGACTGTACCAGCAGCCCTGCAAATTCAGTCAAATTTTATTGTTTAACATGGCAATTCCTTAAAAGCACATTTGTCAGTTTTGAATTAAAGACAGAAAATTCACCAGGTTTTGGTATGGAATGTTGTAGGTAACATACTAAGTTTTATATGATGACCTTACACTGTTTTACTATTGATATTATACCAAAAGTTCTGCTTTATAAAGCACAGATGTTATTTAACCACCTGTCTACGAGGATCTTTAAATCTTAAAACCGCATGATTTACATTTTAACTGCTTGTTCTTCAAATATCTGGCTACCAAAATTTTAGGCTTAAAAGTTAAAACAAATAAATTCAAGACTAAAGTCAATCCATCATAGCTTAATTCATATGACAATCTATATAAATTGAGATTTGTTTTGCAGATTAAAATCTTCAACCTAAACAAGATAAGCTCTTATGGTGGTATCAGTATGTAGCCTTGTTTTTAGGGAAGTCCCTCCGCACAGATTTTGGTTATCTCTATAAATCAATGATAATTCAAAAATCATTACATTTTGAAGCCTTCGCGTCACATTTCGATGAAACTAGATATAAAATCACTATTTTTCCGCTGTTTTCAGCTATATCAGACCCATTAACGAACAAAAAGCTCTTGTCAATATCCTAGGAAAGTTACGACCAAATTTGTGAAAGTTTTATAGGATTAGGTGACTATTGTATACAACAGAGGGATATGTTGAAACTTTTAAACAAACACTCGAACAGTCTAGTGTAACAAACATTGGCTTAACCGTATAAATTAATTCAATCAATGTATTAAATGTAAATTCTGTGATCTAAAAGTTGACCAGTAACCAAGGGCTTGGGATTATGTTGTAAAAGAATTTTTGGTGGATATTTCACAGTGCACACATTTATGATATTATATTCACAAATATAAGTTTTGATTTAAATCATGGAGAAATGGATAAAAGGATTACGAAAAGTGAAATTATGAAAATAGAATTGAAAAATGTGTTCATTTAATTAAAAATATAAGTAGTGTTTAAAGTTAAACTAAATAGAGAACAATAGTAAAATATTTAATTTTGGGAAGAATAATTACAAAACAAACAACATGTTGAAGAAAGCCAGGTTTGCTAAGCCACTTGGTGAAGTTATGGAAATAGAGGTAAACTACAATTTTTGTATTTAATGTTTTTAATTTTTATTACTTCAAAACAATATTTTTTTTTTTAAATAATCTCTCTACATTAATTAAATTATATGTAAATTTGAAACAATCTAAAAGTAGCATAAGTAATTTCAATATAAGAGAATACTACAATAAGGAAACAAATAAAATTGGATCCAAACAGACTGCATGGTTGCATAATTATGCTGGTAGCATTGGACTGTTACTATCTGACTTAAAAAGTGACAGTATCTGACTTTAAAGTAATAACATGGATTGATCGTAAAAATATCTGACTTGAAAGTAAATACATCTTTGAAGTTAATAAATCTGGCTTGAAATTTAATGTATCTGACTTGAAAGTTAATAAATCTGGCTTGAAATTTAATGTATCTGACTTGAAAGTTAATAAATCTGGCTTGAAATTTAATGTATCTGACTTGAAAGTTAATAAATCTTGCTTGAAATTTAATGCATCTGACTTGAAAGTTAATAAATCTGGCTTGAAATTTAATGCATCTGACTTGAAAGTTAATAAATCTGGCTTGAAATTTAATGTATCTGACTTGAAAGTTAATAAATCTGGCTTGAAATTTAATGTATCTGACTTGAAAGTTAATAAATCTGGCTTGAAATTTAATGTATCTGACTTGAAAGTTAATAAATCTGGCTTGAAATTTAATGTATCTGACTTGAAAGTAATTACAATGTACATCATTCTGGCTTTAAATGTATCTGAAGTAATTACATCTTTAAGTTAATGTATCTGACTTGGAAGTTAATAAATCTGGCTTGAAATTTAATGTATCTGACTTGAAAGTAATTACAATGTACATCATTCTGGCTTAAATGTATCTGAAGTAATTACATCTTTAAGTTAATGTATCTGACTTGGAAGTTAATAAATCTGCCATGAAAATAAGTGTAACTGACTTGAAAGTATATACATCTAGTCTTATAATCAAGTTTCAATTAGGGTCACAAATGTGTTTTAAATTAAAGGGACATACCCGGTACATGTTTTAAATTCAACCATCACTGAGCCATGTTTTAACTCTGGTCACAGATGTGTTTTAAATTCAAGTCATATCATATATTTTGAATTTAAGTCAGATTTATTTTAACATCAAATCACAGATGTTTTAAATTAAATCAACAGATATGCTCTAAGTTAAAGCAATACAATTATATATGAAAATTTAAGCCAAAAATAGATGTTTTAAATTAAAGACTTATCTAGAGGTGTTCTACCTTAATGATAATATAATTTCATTGGGACAGGTGGGAATGAAAAGGCAGAATTTACAGAAAAAAAAATAAAAAAATTTGCAATATACATGTCATCATTTAAATTAAGTTTTTCTTTTGAAAAAATAATAATAAATAAATCTTCTCATTTACATATAGGGTAGCACATTGTAAATATTAAGCTGAAGGTATACAAAATTAAATCCAGGATTAAACAATATTATAACATAAAGTCTACATTCACACTTCAATTAATCTGTTATGGCACAATGGTCACTTTGATGTTTGAAATTTGTATTTACTTACTTTATTTTCTCTGTACTTTAAACGTCTCAAATTATTTATGGAAGAAAATACACAAAACTTAGAATGAGGGACATAAAAAGGGAAGGGAAAAAATAAATGAAAGGGGAGAACAGGAAAGAAAGAAAAGGGGAGGAGTGGGGTTGATACAGAAAAAGTGGGGAGGGGTGGAAGCCTTGATGATATAGAGTAGATCAGAGGGGAGGAGATGGGGACAGAAAGAAAATGTCTCTATTATTCTGGAATTCTTGAAACTAAATTTTATATTTATCCAAAAAAAATATGAAAAATATTTTTCAAAGTTGAGAAAGAAATTAATATTTCATCATCAATGTCTTTGTGTTTTGATTACAGGTACTAAATCTAGTGACTGTACAATTTCTTGTTGTCTCCCATTTCAATAAAAACATGTACCTGTATTTATTAACTAGATTTATTTAGTTCTACCCATAAGAACTTTTTTTGCTTTATATAGACTAAGTTTAATACCAATCACACAATGCTTCATTATAGATATACACTATCACTCTTCAGAAGGAATTTATTTCTATCACAAATTAGAAAGAATAAGAAAATAGTTACAGCAAAAAATTCACTCACTGTTACAATCAAGTCCCCAACTACACCGAGGTCAAAAAGCTTAGAAACATAAAATTTGAATAAAATTTGAAATTCTTTCAAAGATCAACAAGGGCACTTAAAAACAGAAAAATATGCAAAGATCATAAAAGGAATATACTCAGAATTGTATTAAAAGTCGTTTTTTTTTATTCTTTGTCTAATTTGTTCCAGAAGTATTCCAACACATTTTGTGTCATTTAGCACAATAAAAATGATTATTCTAGAGTGAGAAAATAAATTGAAATTTTACATACAAGTAACTGGTCTAGACCTATCTCAATCAGTACATAAATCTTGAAAAATATTTCCAGACTTGTCATGTCAAAAAATCTCAGTTGTGTCCCTTTTAACTTTACACAGAAAGTTTTCGATCATAAAAATAAAATCCATTCTTTGTTTTATTTGTCTACAGGCCATGGAGAAGCCAACATCAGCCAAATCCAAGGCCAGCACGTCTTCTGGTCACCGTGACAATAGCCCACCAAAGTCAGCTGGTAGCAAATCATCAAAGAAAAGTCCCAGTCCGAGTAGAAAAGCCAAAAATGTGTCACCGAACAGAAAATCTGGTGGTGAACTCAAGGTAACAATGATTAAATACATTGTATATTGACTTTCTTGTTACTTCGGTACAATGAAAAAATCAGTAGAATGAAAAAATCAACTTATCAAACTTGGACATAATTATAGGAGTTTTGCTGTATTAGAATGGTATTATAAATCTAAAACATGTTTAATGTATGTATTATTTATAAATACCAAGGTTACAGAAAAATACAAAACTTCCCAATAAATTTTCTTCTTGACTTTTATCATTTTCAGTCTGCAATGAGAAAGTCCAGCGGTAAAGAGAAGGGCAAGAAGAAAACAGTGGTTAAGTCCCCTGATTTGACAGCAGACGGTCTTAAAATAGTTGACATGTCAGGCCAGGGGATGACAGTTCTACCATTATCTGTTGTAGGAGGTATGAAATTTAAACATATCCTTGGAATTATGTATTCAAAAAAATTTGTAACACTATAATTATTATGTAAATATTGTTTTCCATTTTTTTTTAATTTTGAACCTTATTCCTGTATACCTTCATATACACACAATAATATTATTATCAACTTGATAATGGTAACAATTTTTACTGAGTCTCAAATAAAATCTCTAGCTGAAATCATAGGGTTCATGCTACAAAGTATTTTTATAATAAAAATATAAATATATATCATGATCTCATCACAAAAAGCATATCTCCACGCTTTTCTGCTGCAGTAGTCATTTATTTATCAAGCACCATTTAATAAGTGATTATTTCTGTAAATTTCAGCAAAAGATACTGGGGAACTATGTCTTGCATCAAACAATCTACGTTCTCTACCACCGGAACTTCGGCGCTTAACAACACTCACAAAACTTGATATCAGCCGGAATGGGATACGGTGCACAAATCCGAATGATTTTAGTGGCCTTCCAACAGAACTTAAAGAACTTGTAAACTTAGTAGAATTACGAATTTCCGAATGCAATTTACCATATATCCCACCAGCAATCTGGCAATTGGTACAACTCAAAATTTTGGATATAAGCCGTAACAAGATAAACATGCTTCAACCAGAAATTGGAAACTTGACAAATTTGCAGAAATTGAATCTACAGCAGACGAATATTACAACTTTACCGCCAGAAATTGCATATTGTCAGGAGCTTGAAGAAATTTTACTTTGGGGTAACGTTATTGAATCTTTACCAGAAACACTTCCAGAAATGCTTAAACTACGCACATTAGCAGTCAACTATCGCAGTTTTTGTGCCCAAGTGGATTCTTTCCAAGAATCTGAAGAATTGCTACGCAAAGGGAAACTTACTTCAGAACATATTCCTCTAGTTGTGTTTGAACTAGCTACGCTTGAAGTGCTGGATTTAGAAAACACAAAAATTAACAATATTCCTGATATGAGTAACATTTCACTGAGGGAACTGTATGTTTGTAAAAACTTCCTTAGTAAAGTGCCACCTAGTCTATTCAATTTGAATCATCTGACAATGCTGGACATGTCAAACAATCTGTTGAATTTATTGCCAGAAGACATTGGCAGAGTTACCAGCCTTGTAAATCTTCGACTAAGTAGCAATCGTATAGAAAGAATTCCAGCTCGAATCAGGGAGCTTGTTAACCTACAGGAATTAAACCTTGCTGATAACCGTATCCGCTTCATGCCAACAGCCATTGGAGGGTTAAAAAAGCTGAAAACTCTCCTGATAGAGAAAAATGAACTCAGCTGTCTACCTGATGAACTTTGTGAGCTTCAAAACCTTGAGACACTTGACATCACAGAAAACCGTATCACTGCTCTGCCAATGAAAATGCACAAATTAAAAAATCTTGTGACTGCTCATAGCTTCAAAAGGCTGTCCAAGTATGGTCTATGGTTGTACAAGAATCCCATACATCAACCGCCACCAGAAATCTGGAAAACTGATCATCCTACAAAAATCTTCGAGTATCTGAAAAAACTCGCTATCATCAAAACAGAGAACCTTCAGCGGCAGAAATTGTTGTTCTTTGGTGCCAGTGGGAGTGGCAAAACAAGTCTCATCAATGGTTTAATTCACCGGAAATCACTTATGACCAGAGGAGAAGGCGATAAAACACGTGCATTGGTGCAGACGCCTTGGAAGACCGAGAACAATGTAGAGTTTATGATTAATGACTTCGGAGGAGACAGTGCTTACACTATGATCTATCCAATGTTTTCAGACACTAAAGGTATGGTACTGTTGGTGTATAATCATGGCTCGTACAGCACAGACACACATTACAACGCTATTGGTCAGTGGCTAGAATTCCTGAGTGTCCACATGCCTGGCGTGGTGGTCAAGCTAGTGGGTACACATCTTGACACCTATGAAGAATTTGCAATTGAAGATGAAAATGGGAACATTTCCCAAACCCCAGACACACTTTCACGAACTTCATCACGCTCATCTAAGTCACCTCGTAGATCTCAACTGTCATTACATTCTGGAAGGTCTTTACAAAGTGCAGCGAGTTCAACTAAAGATGAGCCTATGCCAAACTTAGATTTGAAAGACATGTCTTTGAAGGAAATGTCTACGCCAACACCAATAAGCAGGGCCAGTAGCTACATTGGTCTATCAAAGTCTGTCGAAGAACTGGTCAAAACAAATGTTGAAAGACAAATGCAACAATACGCTCAACTTCTACAGCATGAGTTTGATGAGCTTGAGCAAAAAATCAAATCTGGTAGTGATGGAAAGAGGTCTTCACAATACATCAAACATTTACAAATACAGAAAAATCAACTGGAGTTTTTGATTAACAATCCTTTACGCATAATTCCCGACATTTCCTTGGTCAGTAATAACGAGGGATTATATGGTGTGAGTAGCCTTATAGAAAGCGTAGAACTCATGGTAATAGACAAAAGCCTATTTCCCTTTGCACAAAGATCTGTTCCTAAAAAGTGGAACAAAATGAGACTGGCACTGAAGAAACACAAAGACTACTTCCTCCCCTGGAAGCAGGTCATGATGTGTGGAAAAGAAACGGAAGTAACAGCTGATGAACTGACCGACTGTCTACAATACCTCCATGATACAGGTGAAATTCTCTGGTTTAAGGACATACCTGCGCTGTCGAAGAAAGTTTTCCAAAAACCCCGTATCCTTGTGAAAATGCTCGCATCAATCTTTCGTCATGACATGGAAGCATTCCTGGACTTTGAAGTGAACAAAGTTTTCCTGAGTAAAGGGATGTTCAGCAGAGAAGACTTTGAGAATGCTAAATTGCTTTTCTTGAGAAACGGTCAAATTTCCCGCCCACTCATGAACTGCTTCTGGTTTTATGAAGAGTTGGACTATGAACAATTCAATAACCTTGTTGACCTTGCACCCACACTTGATATCTGTTATTCCGTTCCAGAACCCACGTCACCAACAGGTTTGTTGTATAGCTACCCTATTGTAGTCCTTCCATGGTATAACCTGGACAAGGCGGGTCAAGACTTTGCTGAATACTGGAATGAGGCTCTGGCTGAATTCATCGAACCTGTCATCACAAATGTCACATATGTCCTACCACTTGGCCTACCAGCAGGACTGTTTGAAAAATTGTCGTCTGCACTACAGACACATGCTACCACAAGAATTGATTGGAAAGATTCTATTTTCGCAACTACACAAAACGAAATCTTCAAGATAGCACTAAGTGGGAACACCCAAAAGTCTGTTCCCGAGGAAGATACTGGAGATATTCCTTTAGCATATCATACAGAAAATCTCCTTACCCTAACCATTGCAGCAGCAACTGACAACAAAACAGGGGCAACAACTCTTCTCAAAGAAATGACGAGAATGATCACTGACTTGCTAGCAAGGGCACCTGGGCTAGTGTGGAACTTAGAAGTGTCTGATGAGCTCTGGTTCTCATCAAATGTACAATATGCTCTCAAATCTGTACAGTTCTCAAAATAGAACCAGATATAGTGCAAACTAAACTTTGTGTTTGTACAAAAAACGTAAAGTCAAATAAAACATAAGACTCTTATATCACAAAACAAACAGCAATCAAGTGTCATTTATCAAAAAGATGTTGAACTCTAGTCATCTGATATATGCTTTCAAAGCAAACAAATGAAAAATCAAGTAAGGTTGCAATAAATATTTTTATTGCAGGGTATGTATTTGGTATGATAAAATTCCCTCGTAATTTACAAGCATATCATATACATTCAAGACCATAAGTGCTCTTGTAGGACAATTTATTAGATAATATATTTATGTGATATAAATCAAAATAACTGTTTTCTTTAAAATGATGTAGACAGCATTTTCCTTCTAAGATAGGAAGATAGGCATTAATTAAGGAAATTATATGTAAAGTTTATATAGATTTCAAAGCTTAAAAAATCATAATTTTGTGGGTGTTTTTTATTGCCAGTTATGTATCTGAAATTGGTATCAACCAAAAATATATGAACTTATGACCTTTCTTTTTTATTTTAAAGAAATCGACTGATAATTAGGAACAATATTTTATTCAATATTTCTCATATGAGTAATGATTAAATTTAAAAGGTAAGACAGTAAGACAGTAAGACAGTAAGTAAGACAAACTTTATTTATAGTCGGTTATGATTAACAGTACAAAACATAAGCTTTAAGCTTGTATCCGACATGAACAAAATATAGAAAATAATAATAAGAAACAAAGAAACAAAAACAAACAGACACCATAAGATAATAATACATACAATTAATTTATATAGTCATTGTAATGAAATCTGAGCATTTACAATGAAAATACAGTCATATCTATTAACAGGGTTTTACATATATACAGATACATAGTACATAATTCAAGGAAAAGACTAAATTTATTTACAAGCAAAAAACAGGAATCAAGTAAAATAGAACATAAACGATTAGATGCACATAGAGCAGGCACACTTGTCATTACTCCATGTTTCAATTAGTCGTTTAAACTCATTTAAGTCAGATGTACATCTTAGATCATTAGATAAACTATTCCAGATTTTAGATGCTTCAAAGCGAAAACTCTTTTTACCATAATTGGTTGTGCGTACTTTAGGTACATCTAATGTATTTTGGTATCTAAAATTATAATTTGATGAACGCACATTAACAAGTTCTTGAACATACTTAGGAGAAATGCTGTTAAGACATTTAAAAACTTCAATAGCGAGTTGTTTAATTCTACTGATATGGAGTGAAAACATATTAGTCAGTTTAAGCAGATCTTCATAACTTGATGAATAGTCATTAAAAACAATTTTCAGAGCTCTATATTGAAGTTTTTCCAACTTGTTTGTATTGTCCTTACTACAAAAATGCCAGACTAAAGGGCAGAAATTAAAGTTGGATCTGATAAAACTTTTGTATATAAGAATTTTTGCATCCAGATTAAGTAGAGGACATAGTCTGGTTAATACATTTATTTGTCTTGCTGACTTTTTACAAACATTTGAGATATGAATATCAAAATTTAATAGGGAATCTATTTCAATACCTAGAAGTTTTGACTATAGTGGGTTTCATATAGTTGTTTGTATTGAGAACAATTTAAAAGAATGCTGTATGTCTGTTTCTAAAAGGTTTGTGACACATGCTGTCTAGAATAATCGCTCAACTTCACTCAAAATGATAATGAAATATTATCTTCAAGAATATTTCATTTTGTAATTTTGTATTAACTTTCAATGACCATAAGTGATGAATAACAGACACAGAGATTCTTTACCATTACATAAATGATGATTTAAATATGTCAACAGTGTGACATTTTCATATTTTTTAATTCATATAGCAAATTTTAACAGTTATACTTTTACACACTTTAAAGAATGATTTACAATATGAAGAATTTAAAGAAGAATAAAAAAACATCAAATATAAGTCCTCATTTTAACAGCTGACAAATATTGCAAAATACATGTAAGCTCTTTTTTAGTTTCTATTTAAGTACTGCTTTTTTATAATGATTTTCAAAATATAAAAATTGAGTGAATAGAAATAACAGGACCAGGGTACGATAAATCTTTTATATTGTAACACTTTAACAATGTATTTTTTTATAGTTCTCTGGTCTGCATTTTTTAAATATCTTACAACTAATATTTTATACGCATGTTTTTTTTCTTCATTTTATTGACACTTATACCAGGTTATTTATTTTTTACTTCATCAAGGCTGTGATAATATAGATAAATATTTATTTTTTAATTATATAACTATTTACTATTTTACCCATGAACAGTATTCAATAAATTTTAAACTATATGCCAGTCTTTGTTTCATATCAATTTACTAATGAATTTTCTGAAATTGACTTCCATTTTTAGAACTCTCCAATACAAATTTTAGGGATGTCAAGATAAAAATTTGGATTTTATCAACTAACAGTAATGTTCCTGGTCAGACTGCATAGATGTGCAAAATTGTTTTGTATTTCTGTTTTTTATGCCAGTTTTTACACCTTCTCAGGTCATATATTGGCAGTTGATCCACCTTACCAGCTTTCCCAGATAACTAACTTACCATTTATCACAAATTGTTCGCAAGTGACTGACTTCTTATCTTGAATAAATTTAGAATCAGTGTTGAGACACAAATGACCTTTAGACAATCTCCGATATCAAATGTAACCAAGATATTTGCCTCACCCGAGAATCGTACCAGCGACCACTGGATTACTTACCTGATGCCCCCTTTATCAAGCTTAGCAAGCTGACACAACAAAAACCTTAAACAAGAGCTGACTGTAGGACAGCATGCTCAGCTAATCTTGGCGCTTGATAGTAAAATAAGAGCTTGTATATGTTCAAAAGGAGTCATAATTCCGTCAAAAGCCATGTTACAGTTATGGGCATTGGACAGTGGCCTCCGATTATGCTCTGAAAGGAGTGAGTGAAGTTTCAACATATTTCCTTATGTAGTTTTGGAGATACCAACTTGCATGTAAAAACTTACTTGTGTGACGCAAATGCCAAAACAAGTACAATAGCTCTCACGAATAGTCAAGCTAAAAATGCTGAAACCTATGTTATAAACAAGTTGTTAACTTTGACCTTCAATTTTCTTTATTCAATCTGTAGGCATTTTTTTTTAATCACTAGCTTTGATACTATCAAAGAAAGGTGGATTGAATAGTAAAAGAACCATAACCAAACCTGAAGCCTAAGCTTGGAATCTTGTACATTTTTTTTGAAGAGAAAAAAAGAAAAGAAAAATTAGAACAGTAACAGTTCTCATTACACAGACTCTTTTTTATGTTCATGTCTGTCATTTGAGGCAACCTGTACAAGTCCTACTCACTGAGTGGAGGTATAAATTATTTTAATTTCATGCCGACAAAATATGTTTTCCTATCAATCTCTTGTTCAGTGTCACATTATATCACAGCATTTGTTCGTTTATTTTTCTTTAGCTTATTGACAGAGAAAAAGTTTTTTAACCTGTAGGAAAACCTTAAGATTCTACCTGGCATTCTGTGTCTGGAATAATCAAAATAAGGGGCTCATTTGGGGAACATATGAGCCGCGTCACAACAAAACCAACAGTGCGTTTGCGACCAGCATGGATCCAGACCGCACAGTCTGATCAGGATCCATACTGTTCGCTATCAGTTTCTCTACTTGTAAAGGAATTGGTAAGCGAACAGCATGGATCCTGATCAGACTGCGCGGATGCGCAGGCTGGTCTGGATCCATGCTGGTCGCAAACGCATTGTGTTGGTTTTGTCATGACACGGCTCATATAACCTTGATATGGGACAAATACAATATTTACACTAAGACTTACCTGACACCAGAAGGAGAACAGACGTAGTGACCGTACTGGAGCAAAGAACAGGAATGGTATAGCTATTTCTATAACATAGGTCATTACTACACTCAGCTGTAGGAACCAGTGTGGTAAATGGTGCCACCACCATGCCAATGGAGTAGGAATACACTGAAAAAAAGCAAAAAAATTGGTGATCTTGGTGGGAGACTATTGTATCCTCATGTGTACATGCATTTACTTCAGTTTTATTGTTTTGATGGGGTTATAACTTAACTGAAACTGTCAAGGTCATATGGCAACTTTACAGTCTTTATAGGTGATAAAGACCTTGGGTGCCCTTTGGTATGTTATTTCAGGCATAATCAGACATGTGAGAAGAACCACTGACTCCATTAGCTAATGAGATAACTTTGTCATATGAAAAACTTCAGTTTCTTACATAATTCAAAGCAACAGAGGTAAGGGGTAAGTGATTTGAAGTTAGTGATTCTAGTGTTGAAGGCCTCAAATGCAGTTACCACATTACCACATGAAAAACCATAATTAATCTGCTTCAAATTTTATTATGTGGAAAATGCTTTCATAAGAAATAATAATTTGATTAATTCAATAAGATATGAAAACAGCAGCTCACCAGTTTAAAAGAAATTGGCTTGTTAACATTACATGAGATTTTATAGAGACAGACTGGCATGCTATTATATACAATTATAATGTATACTCTTTACAAAACTAAGATGACTTGTAATGTCAGTATAAAATTAATATTGGAATTGGTGGTGTATACAAAAATTTTCTATGACAATGTATGTTAACATTACATATTTTGTACTAACAAACACAGTCCTACTAAAATATGAAGAAAGTATTATTTGACTAATTACCTGAGATTCAAAGTGCCAGTTTAATGCTGAAAAAATAAACAAAAATATCATGCTAAATTAAAACCATAATGCTTAATGCTTAAATACGAGTTTGTGAAATATTTTTGAGAGGAGTCATATTCCTATAATCTGTAAAAGCTACATTTTGAAGATTGTCATAGTATAAAAAAATTTAAATGGAACTTTTGAAATTTTCATCTTGATATCCCCATAACTGATAATGGACAGTTCCAAAAAGTTCAGCGGGTTAATGGTTAACCTGCTGGAACAAAAACTTTTTTCAACCAGCATAGAGCAAGCCCGGCCTGCACATCCATATAGTTTGATTAGGTTCTACAATGTTGGCTGGCTATATGCTAATGACAAAAGCTAAGCTAAAATATTACTTTTCCATCAAGACGTATTTAAACAAAAAAGTGTATAAAGATATATGACAATCATACCAGTTAGACCCCACCATGTTGGGCATTTACTGGTGAGCTTTACGACACCAGACGAGAACATCAGTCGAAACAGCAACCACCGGACCAACCATAGTGTGATACTATCATGCTGGTGGTAAAATGACAGTCTGAACTTCTTTACAGGTATCTGTAGATTAAATGGTGCCACTAGTATAGTCAGAAAACCCGCCTCCAACAGTAAAATATCCCTACAAATACAACAACAAACAAACTTAAATTTCCCAAAAATTATCAATCTTACATGAAAACAGGCTATCCTTAGCACCAAATTGACTGTTACATTGTCAATGCTGATTCAGAAATCATGTGAGATTAGCACAAAGTCACTTGCAGTGAAAATTGAGAAACTGGTAATTACTGGTCAGTTAAGTGGAGCCACTGCCAAGATATGACCAAACAATGAGTTAAATTCAAAGTAAAAACAAGAAAGAAAAAAAAAGCACATTCAACCAAACATGTTTTAAAGACATGCTTTTTATTAATTTTCTTAAGCAAAATTGGTTGACATTTGGTCACTTTAATTTTTTCAAATAAAAAACTTAGCATCATGATAATAACATGAAATTAAACTGATTAAATTTTATTCTACATGTAAATTACGATTAATTGTTTAATTAAACCTACCACTGGAACCAAAGAAATGTCTGTCCAACCTGAAAGAAAAGTTATATTTATGTGAATAAAAACAATATCTTATTGTTTATTAAGCTGAAAAGAACAACAAGATGAATATGCAAGTAATTTCAAATGATTTCTATATTGAAACCTAAATAAGATTAAACGTATAAGTAAAAGTAGAGATCAAAGATATCTATATACACTAATAACTGGTACTTTATTTTATTTGACAGTTATGTTGGCCAGTAAGACTTTAGTCTAAGTGCAACTATTTGCTTGCTGCCTGACTCAGCTCAATGACTTGTTGGCTTTCACATACCAGAAGTAAGGAAAGCATTTTAACATAAAACCTAGTCAAAATAATTAAAATGTATATTTCTGCTACCAGTAACCTTAGTATGAAACCATACATGTTCTGAAACTACCTCACCTGGTTTATTTTGTTTGTTTTTGGTTTACATCACATCGACACAGTATAGGTCATATCGCGACGTTCCAGCTTTACTGGTGGAGGAAGACCTCAGGTGCCCTTTCTTGCATTATTTCAGGCACGAACGGGCACCTGAGTAGAACCACCGATGTTCCGTAAGCTAGCTGGATAGCTTCCTCACATGAAAGAATCCAAAGTCCCTGTAGGAATTCGAACCCACAGCAGTGAGGGGCAAGTGGTTTGAAGTCAACGACCATAACCACTCGGCCACGGACGCCCCCACCTCACCTGGAGCAAATGTCATGAAACAAAAAAAAATCATTTACATCACATTACCTGGTAAAGCGAAAAGTAAAGCATCCAAAGCAGAATAAATGAGACAGTATCTCTCATAGTTTTGCACACAACACAAAGGAAAGATACCACCATGCCTGCCATACATAGTAAATCCATCCCTTGCTGAACACTGAGGCCAAGCTTTGGTGTGAGCTTCAGCAAAGTGGGCTGCGAGTCAAGCAAGTCATCCCAACTGTCTGCTTCTGTAGACAGAAATACTGATAGTAGAATACATGTATCTGTTTGATATAAGCCATATACTAATAATGAACATAGTTACAAAGGTAAAATATGTATAACAAACTTTAAGAGAAATATTTAAATAAATACGAGGTATAGTAAAAAAGTTCCTGGACTGAGGCAATAGTTCCACTATAATAGTATTACGGTACAAAATTTGATAAAATGTAAGATTAAGTGTTACGCTTTTAATGCTGTAAACATTTTGAACTATTGAAACAAATATAATTTCATGAAGCTTATTGTTACACATGCATGGTAGGCTGCATGGGGCACTTTGGAACATCTTTTGTCATTGTTGATAAGAACAATGTCAAGTTCCACAGTCATTTTTTTAAGACATCAACCCAGTGCAGGAACTTTTTTACTGTACCATAAAATAAAACTAAAATGGTATAAACATTCTGACAAAACTCTAATGGTGTAATATTTGTTCTCACTTTATTGGGAAAAGGCCATAGTCTCTTGATTTTGAAAGGAATTATTGCTAATTTGGGAAGAAGCTTGTGCAAGTAGGATTTTTGGAGCCAATTTACATTGGGAAGAGGCCTCTGTATAATAAGGTGAAAATCTCTGTAGACTAGATTAAAAAATTCTTACCTTTACCAATTACTGATTTTGCTGGCAAGATTCCATTTTCACCATACAGACCTAAAATGAAAATAAAATGTGTACAAAATGAAATTGTTCATCAGAATAATATTAAGAAAATCTCTTTCCAAAAGCTGTAATTTCTGACATGGGATATATATTACTAGTAAATGATTTCACTTTCCTTTTTAATACACACATTAAATTATAAAATGAAAACAGAAAATACAGGCCTCAACAAATCCACTGGCCCCGAGCAGTTCATTTTGGGAGAGTAACATTCTCCTGATCCAAATGATGTTTCTCTAAATATTTAATGTAAATGAAGTTTTTTGGTAAAAAAATCAAACTGCAGACGCCATTTCAATCAAAATACTGTCAAATGAAAACCGAAAATTGACTTTATCATGCTTATGACTAGGTATTAAACTTTACCGAACACATAATTATGATGAATCCATTCCATAACAACAGCAGCATTCGACAATGTTTTATACATGCGTTTGGTAATGTTTTATACTTAGCCAGGAGGTTGATATTTTAGCTGAGTGTGCTAAAGTTTAAATGAAATAAGAATTCAGATTATGTTGAAGATTACACATTAATTAAAAGAATGAAAAGTATTATCAACATTACTTAGCAGTATATGTAATTGAATAAAGCCAATTATACCGATATAGACCAGTAAATAATAAATTTGAGTCTTATGTTTGATTTTTACAAATTTTTGCCCATCAAAATGCAGGGCAAGTACATTTTATAAAGGGCGAGTAAATTTGAAGGGTCACTCATAAATTTTTTTGTCTATACAGCAGATTTATTCAGTCTAATATATAAAGATATATAAAATGGAGATTGAGCCTGAACGCTAGAAAGAAAAATTTGTTCTAGACAAAATATGACATTCTCTGTTTTTTGGTAATTCAACAGTAAAGTGTCAGTGTTTCTTCCAGCTCCAATTTTTCGAGGGTCATTTTTGACCCCCTGTATCAGATTTTAGGGGTCACTTGAAATTTTTGAGGGTCATGCCAAACCATATATTTTATTAGCCAAGAAGTACATAAAAGAACTGGAACCACTAATTTATCACAGACACTTGGGGTTTGGAGCTCAAAACGCCTTTAAAATCCAAATAAAATGCATATTTGTCAATCCCAGCACATGTACTGATCATATATATCAAAAAAACTTAATATAAGCCGTTTTGAAAAAAAAATCATATTTCAACATCTATAATAATACACTTGGGGTTTGGAGCTCAAAACGCCTTTAAAATCCAAATAAAATGCATATTTGTCAATCCCAGCACATGTACTGATCATATATATCAAAAAAACTTAATATAAGCCGTTTTGAAAAAAAATCATATTTCAACATCTATAATAATACACAAGATAAAAATGTTCGCCGGAAAAAATCCGCACCCCTACCGTCATAATCACCATGTATTTTAATCCATTTCCAATATTTTCACATAATCCTTTGGTCCATCGACACAGAAGATATAATTCTTCACGGTGATGGTCAATTTTAAACTTCAACGGTAATATAAACAACGCAACAGCCGAAATAAACATCAATATTATCGCTGTTTTTTTTCAACGACAAAATGTTTCGATAAATTCAATGGACCAGACGGCTATGAACGAAGCTATCCGATTATGTGGTTCCCAAACTTAAAAGCGCTGCGCATTTTGCACACGGCAAAGCTGGGGCCACATAATCGGATAGCTTCGTTCATAGCCGTCTGGTCCATTGAATTTATCGAAACATTTTGTCGTTGAAAAAAAAACGGCGATAATATTGATGTTTATTTCGGCTGTTGCGTTGTTAATATTACCGTTGAAGTTTAAAATTGACCATCATCGTGAAGAATTATATCTTATGTGATGGACCAAAGGATTATGTGAAAATATTGGAAATGGATTAAAATACATGGTGATTATGACGGTAGGGGTGCGGATTTTTTCCGGCGAACATTTTTATCTTGTGTTTTATTATAGTTGTTGAAATATGATTTTTTTTCAAAACGGCATATATTAAGATTTTTTGATATATATGATCAGTACATGTCCTGGGATTGACAAATATGCATTTTATTTGGATTTTAAAGGCGTTTTGAGCTCCAAACCCCAAGTGTCTGTGTAATTTATTAGCCTCTTTCCTATAATTCATTCAGCCATTGAAAAATAATAGATGAATAGAAAAGAAAATGTTGCATAAAAATAATTTGAAGAATCTCTATAAACAGAAGAAAAAAATTCTTTAATGAATGTAATTACCCCCAGTTAGCTACTGTAATTCATGCAGCTTAATATGTACTGACAACTTAAAATCTTAATCAGAAAGGCAGTTATTTACACAGTTGCATCATCCTTTCTATATTTGGTCGAATAGCTATGTCACTAGCAGGTAAAATGTGTAACAATTGAAAGAGAGTTGTGTAGTATATACAAGTTTGTTTTGAAAATTGGATAATTAATTGATAGAAAAGTGGACAATAAATGGATATAATTATATTGTCCTCTTGGATGCATGAAAGGGAATTTTTGTCTGATTAACTGACAATTAAATTGAAGGGTATTAAGTCTTAAAATCAAAGCAGTGCAATATTTGTATTTTAACAGTGTAAGAAATTAGGATTTGAATCGACTAGGCTGGTAGGACTACCAGATTGGAATATTCACTAGCCCAAAAGACATTTCACTAGCACAATTAATTTGTTCTAAACAGTTGCCTCTGAAAATACAGTAACCTGGTCGGGCTTGTTACTGTGAAAATTTGGTAGCCCGAAATTTAGTAGTCAGGGGCTATCGGACTACTGCTAACTTCGAACACTGTTTTAATTTGTTAAATAGTTTGCAACGGATTAAAATTGTCATTATTTGGGATTTGCTGTAAATTAATGGAGAATAAATAACTGCGTCACTGGAAACTCACAAATCTTATTGCGTCAAGGCAGTAAAAAATGCGTCAAAAACGCGCTCTGGAAGAAACACTGAAATGTTTGGGCTGGGCCGTTGTCTGCCATTGCTTATGCTGGAGTAAAAGTTCTGTCTTCATTGTATAAGGTGCATAAGATACATGTATTGTAAGCAAATAAACCACATGACATTTGGCTTTTGCGTTTATTTTACAAGCTTTTGTTGTCCTCTACTTTATGCTTAACATTTGATTTTCAACCTATTCAAAACAAATTTCCGCGCTACACCAGTGAATATAATTTCAAATGACCAAAAAATAACGATTTAAAATAACGGCATTAGTTATTAAATGTTTATTTCGGCAAGTTTGACAATAATCACATTTAAGGACGTCGCGAAAATGTATTACAATGAAACATACCAGGAATTTGTACATATAAGGAACAAAATGCAGCAAGGTAAATGACTGCCATAAAGAAGAGAAATAAATCTCTTGTACGGCTTATTCTTGTCATAATTGCGTTGTGTACGATTGAAACGCAAACCGAAAATATATTTTGCCAATTTTGGCTCTGTGTTCCGTGCAATTTACACGCTGGCACGATCACATTATTCGACAATAAATTTGAATAGAAAACAAATCTTTTAAAGTTTGATATATTAATATATTTCAATTTATTTATTTTGGTAAAATGTAGCGAATCAATATATTTCAATGGAACGTCTAAGGAAAATATATAGGACTATTTGTCAGATCCATAAAGTATAGCGACACCGTCGCTGAAAGTGCACGAAAATTGGATAAACTTAATTGTTTTGTATTTCTAGCAGTTCTATCACAATAAATCTAGAGTCAAGGTAAGAATCCATACCCTTTTTTAACCCGCCATTGAAATACCAGTCGTATTGAAACGAATATTCATGATATTTCTAAAATAGATGTCACTTATATTTACATATTTTTCGGATAGTTTTGTCCGAAATGTTTGAATTTAATTAATTTAAATTGTTTCACAAAATGTAATAGAAAATATGAAAAAAATCTTTCATCATGATTAAAATCTAAAACCTTATAATGAAACCTGAAAGTCTAACACTTTGTCATTGAGGCTAGTAACTTAGTAAGGCAAGTGTTACACTATTAGTTTCTAAGCATGCATGCACTGTTATGCTTCAGAATCTGATAATTACCAACAAAAGATCATTGAATATTTAAATGTCTCAGGTCAATATTGCCATACAATAACTTGACATTTGTATTGCTTACATGTTCATGATATGTTTTTGCTATTTTGACATTTGTGTTGCTGACTTGACATTATAACGGTAATAATCTAATATTAACATCCCTTTGCTGATTTGACATTTTTTACAAACAGAAACTAGACATTGTTGGCTTGACGTTTATGTTGCCTACTTGACATTGTTAACTAAGCATTGCTATTTTGAAAATTTGATAATTGTTTTCCTAATTTGTCATTTGTGTTGCTTACTTGACATTTTGTTGCTAACTTGATATTTTTAACTTTGCACTGCTAAATTGACATTTGTATTCAAATTTCAATTTCAACTCTGGCATTGCTATTTTGACATATGTGTTGCTAACTTGATATTTGTTTTGCTAACATGAATAGTTTTACTTTTGTTCTGCTAAATTCTAATTGTTTTATTGACATTGTTAACAGTGAAAGTAACTTGACTGTTGAATTGCTATTTTCACTTGAATTTTGCATAGCTAATTTTACTTTTTTTGCATAGCTTACTTCACTTTTGCATAGGTAACTTAACTTTTGCATAGCTAACTTGACATTTCAGGAATCATCTTTAATTCAGAGTGATGTCTAGGCAGTCGGAGGAAGTTTTGTTGATAGTGAACAGTGTGAAGAATAAGAAAGTGGATGGTGTATTGTATATGATGGGAGAAAGATTGGCATGGATGCAGCCCAGTAAAAACAGTTTCTCATACAGTCATGCTTATGCAGATATCAAATGTAAGTAAGGCCGGCCTTGTATAACCACTTCCACTGCATTATGAATATCTTGCCATTTCAATAACTTTTAGATAAAAAAATGAGTTTACATGTATTTCTGTGACACTGTTCAAGTTCTTTATCAAAAAAGTACATGTAATCCTAGGAATTGGAATTATTAACACTATATTATCATTAACATTAATATACATAAAGAAACATTTATGTAAAATTTGTGGTGAAATGTGTAATACTATGTTCTTGTCTTTTATCACATTGATGTGAACTTTTTTCAAGGATTTAATCAGAGCAAGTTTGTTTACATAAATTGCCAGAATAAGTGCTGATAATGTAATATTTTCCTATTTTTTTTAACTAATTTGATATTTTATATACCTAATAGCCCAAAAGATATCAGCAGACACTAAAGAGAGAGTACAGTTACAGCTTGTAATGCACGATGGAGGTGCAAACACATTCCAGTTTAACAATCCAGCTGGGAGAGCGGCACAGATGGCTGACCGGGAAAGTGTAAAAGAGCTTCTTCAACAGTTGTTACCAAAGTTCAGACGAAAATTAAGTAGTGAGTTAGAGGAAAAGAATAGGTATGTGATATGAAGTTTATTTCTTGTTTAGTACATATGTACATATACATTGTAAATGAATTTTATAATTTTTTAATAAAACTGAGATAAGTTCATGAAAATGGAAAGATAAGTAATTTATTTTGTAAATGATATAGTTATATAAAATATAGTTATATAAGATAGTTGATACATGTATATGTATATACATATACATTGTAACTGAATTTTATAATTTTTTAATAAAGCTGAGATAAGTTCATGAATATGAAAAGCGAAGTAATTTATTTTGTAAATGATAAAAGTTACATTAGACATCTTCTTTGTGGAGCTAAAATTTCCACTTTATTCTTAATTATTTATGACAAAGTTTGGTGATTAGTACTGTGTACAGTGTACATGCATATCTAAATTCATTACGTATTTAAACAATATTTAAAGTGTTACCAAAATAATTTTATAGGTATTTTTTCTTGCTAATTAAAAACAGTTGAGAAAAATATCAACCATGAATTAATTAATTTACCCCATCCCTACACCCCTGTCCCAGAATATATGCCTTTATATTCATGCCTCAAACACAATTTGAATGTATTCAAGATTAGTTTTTATAATTTGATTATCAAACTTTTTATTCCTTCAACTAGTGACACATTACAAAGTATTAAGATTCATTGCAAAAAAAGTCCATTTTTCATATTTTATGATGTATTTCTTTATTAATCAGGTTTTCCGAAGGAAAAAACTGGTTATTAGATTGAGGTATGTCGGCGGGCGGATGGACGAGCGGGCGAGCGTAAACAATTTCTTCTGTGCACAACTCCTCCTACATTTCTCAACGGATTTTGACCAAACTTTCACAGAACCTTTGTCATCAAGTGCCCTGGCGCATATTGTCGGGGTTTTGTGATTGGATAATATATGACCTAATTATGTCCCTTTGTTTTTTTTCCTTATATAGAATATATAGTGCACAATTTCTTCTGTGCACAACTCCTCCTACATTTCTCAACGGATTTTGACCAAACTTTCACAGAAGCTTTGTCATCAAGTGCCCTGGAGCATATTGTCTGGGTTATGTGAATGGATAAAATTTGACCTAATTATGGCCCTTTGTTTTTTTCCCTTATTAGCTCACCTGTCACTTTGTGACAAGGTGAGCTTTTGTGATCGCTTTTCGTCCGGCGTCCGTCCGTCCGGCGTCCGTCCGGCGTCCGTAAACTTTTACTTTAAATGACATCTCCTCATAAACCACTAAGCCAATTTCATCCAAACTTCACAGGAATGTTCCTTTGGTGGTCACCTTTGAAAATTGTTCAAAGAATTTAATTCCATGCAGAACTCTGGTTGCCATGGCAACCAAAAGAAAAAACTTTAAATATATTCTTCTAAAAAACCCAAAGAGCAAGAGCTTAGATATTTGGCATGAAACATCTTCTAGTGAGTGTCTACCAAGTTTGTTCAAATAAAAGCCCTGGGGTCAAAATTGGCCCCGCCCCAGGGGGTCATTGATTTTCCCTATATGTATTTAGTAAAACTTAAAAAATCTTCTTTTAAAGAACCTAAAGAGCTAGAGCTAAGATATTAAGCATGAAACATCTTCTTATGAGTGTCTACCAAGTTTGTTCAAATAAAAGCCCTGGGGTCAAAATTGGCCCCGGTCCAGGGGGTCATTGAATTTTCCTTTATGTATATAGTAAAAACTTAAAAATCTTCTTTTAAAGAACCCAAAGAGCTAGAGCTAAGATATTTAGCATGAAATATGTTCTAATGGATGTCTACAAAGTTTGTTTAAATAAGAGCCCTGGGGTCAAAATTGGCCCCGCCCCAGGGGGTCATTAATTTTTCCCTATATGAATATAGTAAAAATTTAGAAATCTTCTTTTAAAGAACCCAAAGAGCTAGAGCTACGATATTTAGCATGAAACATGTTCTAATGGATGTCTACCAAGTTTGTTCAAATAAGAGCCCTGGGGTCAAAATTGGCCCCGCCCCAGGGGACATTGATTTTCCTTATATGTGTATAGCAAAAACTTAAAAATCTTCTTCAAAAAAACCCGAATAGCTAGAGTGTAGATATTAAGCATGAAACATCTTCTAGTAAGTGTCTACAAAGATTGTTCAAATAAAAGCCCTGGGTCAAAACTGGCCCCGCCCCAGGGGTGTCATTGTTTTTAAATATATGTGTAAAGAAAAAACTTAAAAAATCTTCTTTTAAAAAACCCAACGAGCTAGACCTTAGATGTTTAGCATGAAACATCTTCTAATGGGTGTCTACCAAGTTTGTTCAAATAAAAGCCCTGGGGTTTAAACTGGCCCTGCTCCGGGGGGCCTATATACAGGTGAGCGACTTCAGGGCCATCATGGCCCTCTTGTATAGAATATATAGTCAACAATTCTGTGCGCAACTCCGCCTACATTTCTCAAAGGATTTTGACCAAACTTTCACAGAAGCTTTGTCATCAAGTGCCCTGAAGCATATTGTCTGGGTTTTGTGATTGTATAATATTTTAGCTTATTATGGCCCTTTGGTTTTTTTCCTTATATAGAATATATAGTGAACAATTTCTTCTGTCCGCAATTCCTCCTACATTTCTCAACGGATTTTGACCAAACTTTCACAGAAGCTGTGTTATCAAGTGCCCTGAGGCATATTGTCAGGGTTTTGTGATTGGATAATATTTGACCTAATTATGGCCCTTTGGTTTTTTTTCTTATATAGAATATAAAGTGAACAATTTCTTCTGTGCTCAACTCCTCCTACATTTCTCAACAGATTTTGACCAAACTTTCACAGAAGCTTTGTCATCAAGTGCCCTGGCGCATATTGTTGGGTTTTGTGATTGGATAATTTTTGACCTAATTATAGTCCTTTGTTTTATTTCCTTATACAGAATATATAGTGAACAATTTCTTCTTTGCGCAATTCCTCCTACATTATTCATGATTTACATTGCACATAGTTACATTGTTTGTTGCTTGTGTTTGTATTTCATCTACAACATATATATCTACAATGGTGATAATTGAAAACCTGGTTTCGTGGCATTGCCATGTTTCTAGTGTTTTATTATACATTATAAAAAAATTTATTTTCAGACTTCTTCAAGAAAATCCTGAGCTATTTCAGTTGTATAAAGACCTTGTAGTGAGTCAAGTTATAACAGCAGAGGAATTCTGGTCAACTCAGGGCCCTGTGAGTCATACTTCCTTTCTTTTCAAAAGTTTTCATATTTTATTATGTTCCCCTAAATATTTCATTGAAGGGTATATTTGTTAGATACTTTTTCCCTTTAGCCTTCTGTCACACTAACTGTCTGTGTTGGTACTTATTATGGACCTTTTATCAAGTTGTTTGTGTCAAGGTTATTAAGGCTAAAAATAGATTTCCCTTTAATGTACTTAAATAGATTAACTATTAAAATTGCATTTAGTATACACATAAGGCATGAAGCACAGTGTTAATGTGTTCTGACAGTTAAGAGTGAGTAAATAACTATGTACACACCATTCTCTGTGGATGAAAATAAATGGCCCTGTAAGATAAATATGTTAATAAAGGGTTGCCAAAGTGGATATTGTGGTTCGGTATTTTATGTGTAAGCCATAATTAGAATAAACATTCTTATGTCACTAATAATATAATATAAGTGGGAAGAGATATGTGTATACATCAGGGGAGCTGCAGAATTGCATTCCATATTTTTGTATGTGACATACCAAAAATTTACAGTACTGTGATAAAGCAAAGAGTGTGACGAAGATGAAATAAACCCAGAAATACAATGTACCAAATTTACTAGGTACTTTACTATCATATCATGTGCATTATTTTGTCATTCCAGCTGTAAAGATCATAAGGATAAAAGACTTTTGGTTACATAATGTGTAATGAATGTATTAGAATGGCATTATTGAATTAATTATATATGTCATTAAAACTTGATTTTGTTAATTTTTAGAAATATCAAAGTAAAGAAAAGATTGAACAAAAACAAACAACAGGTGTTTCTGCAGCATTTTTGGTAAGTAAATTATAACAATAAGGATATATAATCATAATATAATCTTTCCCCAATGAATCTGGTAGAATGGACTTCACCATTTTTGATTATGAAATTGTTGATTTGTTAGTCGGAGGGGTGTTCAATTCCACAATATAAGGGGATGAGGAGCTAATTGTTGTAGGCTCAGTCAGGCTGTAAAGAGTTGTATGCTGGCTTGGCTTACTGAGGAGTTGACAGTTACTACCACTGTAATTTTTAAGAGGTAAAGTTGATCTGTCAAGCTTAGGGCCTTTTATTGCCTATTGTGGTCACATATATTTTCATCACAAATTAATGGATCAGTAGGAAGTAGACATATAAACCAGGATATAAGGTAGTCTAAAAGCTTACTATGTGACTTAAAACCTGGCAGTAATGGCTTAAAAGCATGTGTGCAGTGGGCTTGTTATCACTGCATGACACCATAATCAGTTTTAATTGAGTGCCATTAATTACAGTTTATAGTAACAAGTTTGTTACACTATGTTAAGGTATTTTTTATTCTTAACAAAGTATTTTATATATTACAGGCTGATATAAAACCAGAGACAGATGGTTGCAATGGTTTGAAATATAATCTTACAGCAGACATCATAGAATCTATTTTTAGAACATATCCCATGGGTAAATATTACTAGTAGTAAATGATAATAAGTACTTTGTATTAACAATATCAATTCATTATACATGTACACTGTTTGATTCAAATGTTGATACGCTAAAGAAAGTCACTCAATATGCTGTCTACCCGTGAATATCAAATCATATCCAATGGTTCACTAGTCATTAATATACAGGAAAAGACTTCAAGATTGCTTCCAGTTTAATCCATTGTAAATATGTTCTTATGTGATGAATAAAATATGTTTAAACCAAAGATTGTATAATAAAACCCCAAGCTGCAAATCAAGGTATAGATAGCAAACAACCATTTATACACCGCCATATAACCTGTCACAAGTTTTATCACAAATTAATAATACAGGTACATGTACTGCACAGTCATTTCTTTAAATAAGATTGAAGATAACTTATAAAACATGTTGATGCAGTTTATATTCTTATATATGTCAAAATGATCCAATGAACATTGACATTTAATTTTGGAATGTGCAGTATTATACATGTAAAATACAATATTTATTACAGTTAAGAAGAAACATGCGGAGTATGTACCTCATGAGATGACAGAGAGTGAGTTCTGGACGCGATTCTTTCAGTCACATTATTTCCACAGAGACCGTATGGCTTTAGGTACCAAAGATCTCTTCTCCGACTGTGCCAAGAAAGACGAGGAAGGTTTGTTTTATAGTTCTGTTTTATCTTACAATATAAAATGTAGTCAATTTACACCTGATGAAGGGTAGGTATATCTTACCTGAAACCGGTAGTTATAAAAAATACATATATGTATATTAACCGACCTTGTGTTTTGTAGTGTTGGTCCCCTTTCCAAATCTTTAAATTTAATATAATTTAAAATGTAGTAAATTCCGCAGGCATGAATGATGTATATTACAGTTACAAAAGATATTAAACCTTATGGCTGTAAGCGGCAACATATTTTATCCATGCAACCAATGCAGACAAAAATCAGCTGGCACAACAGGTTCTGCTTTGGTCTGTATTCAGCCAGTACATATTTTGACATTTTTTCCTAAAAATGATAAAAAAAGTTTTGTCAATATTGAAATATGAAAGTCCATTTAAAATATTAAACAGTGTAAAGGTGAAAAACATTTAGTACCTAATGATATTTTTCAGCTAACTGATGTATTTAAAAGTGTTGGTAAACCTCTATAAAACAGTTCAATGTATTTTCTTTATCGGTATTTCATGAGTGTTTTTTTTTCCCAGAGATAAAGATTGAAGTTGAGAGAAAAAATACTGACCCTTTATTAGATCTCACATCCCATAAAGATGGCAATTTAGATGAGGTAAGTTAGTAAGTTGCTTGAACATATACATGTGCCATCAACATACTGCTGCTAAAGGAAGTAAAATTTCAGTATATGTTCATATTTTAATGCCCCTGAAAAAGTAGATCTTGAAAGCATATTGATTTTAGTCTGTCTGTCTTGATTTTTGTAGTTTTAAAACTTTAAACTTGACCATAGCATTGAAATACTGTCAACCTACAGCCGCCAAACTTCATTGGAACATCCCCTTTGAAAAGCTCTGTCAGCCATACCCACTTAGAGGTTGCAGGGTTAAATGTAAAGGGCATGGAATTCATTTGAACATAGCACTTGTTATTTTGATATATTTGTATATATCAGGGGTATGGTGGGACAGGTGATGATAAACGAGGAACAATAAATCCTGCTAACCTCACCATGATAAGAAGGTTTAACCATCACTCTACCATGGTGTTAAAAGCTTGTGAACAAGCTGGTAGCCAAGCTAACTCAGGTACCATTCACATTGTTTTATCATAAATTTGTAATGATAATGTTTATCTGTTTTGTTAGAAATATTTTGTTTTTATCTCTTGCATAATAAATTGTCTCATCAGAATGGAAAGGCAACTTGCATCTTGGATTTCTTGATTATCCGACCATTTGGGTTAAAATGAAATTTCATTTCATATTCTGCGAAACCTTAGCAACATTGTGGTTTATAAAAGTTACTTTTCCCAGACATAAACTAGTTGACTCCCAAGTAAGCATTTACTGGTTCATTTCCTACACTATTAAATTTGTGAATGAAAAACTACTTTAGTTAGATACATAAAATCACAAAGAAATAAACATGTAAGGAAATATTATAACCTTTTTGATCACTTGTTGCTTGTGTATTTAGAACATCTTCATTTCACCATTGTGGATTTGAACCCTGCCAGAGACTTTTAATTCTTTCATGCAAGGAAGCTATCCAGCTAGCTTACGGAAAGTCTGTGGTTCTACTCCAGTTGCCCACTCATGTCTGATATATTGCACAGTGTGTCCCTTAAAGTCTTACTTTATCGGTCAAGCTGGAAACTAGCTATATGACCTTGACAGGGTTGGTGTGACAAAAAAAAAAAAAAAAAAAAAAAATCTGTTGATTGGGACAGCAAAATAGAACTTCATTTACACATTTAAAATTAGAATGTATAATTATATGTTGTTAATTTTAGGAAATTCTAGTTTAACAAATGGTAATCACACAAATGGGACAGATTCAAGAGTTAATGGTGAAAGCAGTAAAGAACATAACCATGAACCACCAAAGAAAAGGGTATATATTTATAAGTTTGTTACTACCTCCTCCCAGCCAAACATTGCTGTAAATGATCAATTTTGAGTCATTGTGTTGGAAAACAATGGTTAAGCAGTTTTTAAATGCATAAAATGCCAGATGATATAACGTTCTTGTAATCTTTACCCTGAAAAATATATGTAATGGAATTTCCTTGCTTTAGATTTTGCCACTGTAAGTTTTCATGACTTTGATATCAATTTTGTTATCACAAATTCGTAAATATTGTGGATGCAATATAGGCTTCTCAATATTTCTGTTTCATTAAGAATTGAGAAAAAATCATTGTCAGTTGAGGAATATATTCTCTTCTTATATAGGCTAGAATACGTGAGAAACTTCACTTTGATGACCTTGAAGAGAAACAGAGCAAGAATAATGTGAACCTGCGTCTGTCACGGATGGAGCGTTACCTGCATGGGCCGACACCTGTGACCTCATCACGATACGCCTCAAGCGAGGATTTAATCTCAGCAACTAACACTGTATCAGCAGAGATAGATGTGTGGTATCCAGATCTCAGTCATGTAAGATCAGTACTTAAGGGAAACCTTTATATACTTTACTTTCTTAGGAATGAGTTCTTGTATTGATTTGCTTTCATCTGAAAAGTTTTATACCAGATGGAAAACAATTTTACTTATGCCAAAAGCAATAGATAAAAAGATGCTGCATTTTTTATGCTCCCCGAAAAATTTCGGGGGAGCATATAGTCGGCGCCTTGTCCGTCTGTCCGTCCGTCCGTTTTCTTGTCCGGAGCATAACTTGAAAACCCTTAGAGATAATTTGTTAAAACTTCATACAGTGGTAAGATGGCATTTGAGGGGAGTGCAGTTGTCAAACAACCATAACTTCTATTTTGCCCCGTTTTTTGGAATTATCTCCCCTTACAAAGAAAAAATCTTGTCCGGATTAACTCTAAACTATAGAGATAATCAACAGAAACTTTTGTAGGTTGAATAGATCTCAATGGGTAGATGTGCAGTGCATAAGAAAAACAATAATCTTTTTGTCCTAATGTTTGGAGTTATTTCCCTTCTGTTAATAAGGATTCAACACTTTGAACTTTGCCGGAACTAACTCTAAAACTTTATAAAGAGATATCAAGATGAAACCATTGCTAGGTAGATAGATCTCATTAAGCAGGGAAGTTGCAGTGCCAAAAGAACCGATAACTCTGTTAACCTCATTTTTGATTATCTCCCTATAGAAAAATCCTTGTCCGACGGGCATAACTCTAAAAACTATTAGAGATTTATCATCATGAAAACTTTGTACGTGAAGTAGATTCTCAATAGGTAGAATGTGCTGCATAAGAACAATTACTCTTTTGTCCTAATTTTGGAGTTATTGCCCCTTTGTTAATTTTAACACTGAACTTTGTCCGACATAACTCTAAAATATAGAGGATATCAAGATGAAACATTGTAGGTAGATAATCTCATTGAGTACGAAGTGCAGTGGCAAAAAAAAAACATAACTCTGTAATGCCTCATTTGGAATTATCTCCTCCTTTTTTAGGAAAAATCTTGTACTGGAGCAAGCTGTAAAAACTATAAGAGATATTACATGAAACTTTGTAGGTAGACTACCCTATTCTCAATGGGTAGATTGCAGTGCACAAGAATCATAACTTTGCCTGCCTAATTCTGGAAATATTGCCCTTTGTTTATTTTTACTATCTGAACATTAACTCGGAAACCCAGTTAAGAGAAATCAAACAAGAAACTTTTGTTTAAGTTGATAGATGTGCAGTGCAAAGAACAGTAACTCTGCCTTTCCTAATTTTGGAATTATTGCACTTTGAACTTTTTCCAGGAACATAACTCTGAAACTACAAGAGGTATACTTTCCTGTGTCCAAAACCTATTCGGGGAGCATCACCCGGCTCAAACCGGGCTCTTGTTTTATTTGATCCTGTGTCAACTTAAGCTAGACTGCTGCATTATAACCTTAATATTATACGTATCGATTGCAAACAGGATGTAATAGGTAAACGATTTTGACTGGATGAAATTTGTGTAAATCTTAACAGTCATATAATAGCTTGTTAATTTACCTGTCCGTTATATTAGAATTTGAATAATTACCTTATGAAGACTTGCTTTCATGTGTGCCCTCCTAGCTCAGTAGGGAGAGCATCAAATTAGTAATCCAGTGGTTGTTAGTTTGATCCTTAGGTGATGCATAATTTCTTCATGACAATTTATCCTGGAGATTTAGTCTAATGGTCTTTTGTCTCTCAGAATTGAAATCATGTTGGTTTAGTTATCGGACACTTGTGTAGAATTTGGTAATTACTAGTTACTTATCTAGGAAAGTTGGCAAGGTGAAACAACCACAGAGATGACAAAAACATGTGTTAAAATCGGTGTAGAAACCAGGCCGAAAAAACAAAACAAAAATGAAAATTCTCTTCATTAATGTTAAACACTCTTGTTTAGCTTTTCACTAGCTGTATCGGAAATGGTTTTTGCTACAATTATTAAAGATTGTGTAACAAATATTTACATAATTAATTCAGTAAATGAAATGAATATACATTTTCAGGTAATGCATGGTACTACAGCAGTCAGTATTTTAGGAGAGTTGTCACCAGGTGGCGCTTTAATGCAGGGAACTACTCAACAACAGTTAAATCGTACGTTTGTTTATATGTCACTCTTTTAATCATTTTATCTTTTATGAAATTTGATCTGTTATATGGAATAGCTGATGTACTGATTTTAGTTCAAATCCTTGTGTCTTCAGGGATTTATGTGTAGTAGCCATTTGCTAGCTTATATGAGCTAATCCTTACGAAAAGTGTTCATTAATTTTGAAGGAAATGGTAAGACATTGATTGAATCAACTGGTTCGTTTTATTCCAGTATTACTGGTTAATAAATAGATGAAGCAAGTTTGTTTAAACTTTATCTGATACTCTTAATATTATGTATTTAGGCATTAAACTAGTAGTATCTAATTTGTAGTCTTGTAGTGTTAACACCTGGAAATAAATTTATTCTTATAGGTAAAATTCTTTTGCATGTACATTTGTATATAAGAATGCTTACTTTTTAGCATATTAATAATAGGACAGTGGCCCTATCTGGACTTTAAACTGAAATGAGACAAAGGGAAGTTTTTAATGAATGTGCATGTATGTATGAAATTGATGCTTTATAATAATAATTTTACTTCTTTTGATCTACATTCTGTGATATAGATATATAATAATGAGACAATCCTACTTTCAGAAATGGTACCTGAAGATATGCAAAATGAATTAAAACAGAATTACAATGCATTATGTGAACTTCTGCGGCATTTCTGGTCATGTTTTCCTGTCTCATCCAAATTTTTAGAAGAAAAGGTAAGAATTTCACTTATTGATTTTTATTCTAACGAATCTATCTATCTATCTATAGTCTATGTTTAATGAGGGTCCATCTGCCCGCAAGGGCACAAAATGCAGCTTTCGCTGTCGATTACGGACCCCGGACATGTCACCAGTCATGCCCTTAAAGAGTTAATTTTGAAGCACAAAAGTGGTGATAATTTACCTCCATGCAATTTCCACGGAGTATTAGCCAAAGAAATTAATTTTTAGCCGAAAGTAGGTCACTGTACGGCAGTCAATGAGAACCTAAATGTACAGTAACCTGTGACAATATGAAAGGTTAGCCCTGACAAGGGCTGTTTGTGTCCGAGGGGAAGTGAGAAGTTATTCTAACGAATATAATAAATGACCTTTTTATAAAGAGGTCATTTAGCCAGCCAGTGTCATGACCTCAGTTACACTTGTGTAAAATCTTTGTTAAATCAATAATTTGAGACGTAATCAGTTTAAATTTTTGAAACTTGGTTAGGCCATTTTCCACAGTCAGTAGATGATCCCTATTGGTTTTGAAGTCCTTGGTCAAGGTCACTGTGAAATAAGTGTAAATTTCTTGTTTAATAAAAAAACTGGAGAATAGCATAGTTTTTTGTTTAATTTTGTTGGGACATTTGATGACTGATATGTCTCATTATCTTATCAGTCTTTTAGATCCTAAAAAAATCAACAACAACAACAACAGAAAAAAAAACCGAAGAATATGTATAAAAAGTTTCATCAACAGAGACTAACTACTATGACAATATGTATAACAAGTTTACATTTCAACTAAATTTATGTAACTATGATGGTTTTGTAGAATTTGATATCAGCTTTGAAAATTTATACAAATGTTAGCATCTTTAGATGACCTCAGAGCTACAGCTACACAGCAGTAAATAATTTGAAAAGTGATTAGTAAATGGTTCAGTTAAGCAAGAACATCTTTCAGTAAAGTGACTTGAGTTATGCCATGTTTGAAAAAAGAATTTTAATTGATAAATCGGTTGAGTTTTGTTAAAAGTTTTTTATTTTGTGTGTGGCATAATTTTACTAAATATCTGAAGTAACGTATACAAAGCTATGAGCACAATATATTTCATTATTTAAAAGAAAAACAAAACAACAACAACAACAATACTTTTTCATATTTGTAATATTTTTTCTTGTTCTTTTACTATTTGCAGGTTGTTAAAATGAAATCTACATTAGAAAGATTTAACATGTCAAAGTTAAATCCTCTCAAAGATAAACTACAAGCCAACCATTATAGTATGGATGTAAGTAAACTTTCTCTTAAAGGCACATTAAGCCTCTGGAATAAATATGACTTTTGTTAGAATGTGCAAATTTGTGTTTTTAACTGTTTTAATAAATGATTTAGAATTTTGAAAGTTAAATAATTTTTCTAAAAAGTAGCTAAATGTAAACAAAGAGGTATTTTGATTTCCATACCAAATACTAGGACACTATACCTGCAAAAAAAGTGGACACCATGATATTTTAGGCAGGCAATTTTATATCTCCGTAACCTTTTAGCATATTCTTCTATAACATAAGACAGGCCCTTTCCTTTTGTCACCATTAAAGGTCACTGGTCAAGACTCATTAAAGTTGTATTGATTTTTTGCTGAATTATACAGTCAGGACTCATGACAACGACACTGTTGGTTCCCAAATGATATAAAATTGATATTTTTGCATTTCTGTTTTGCTTACTTTACCAATGTGAATATATTTTCAGTTGACTGGACATATGCAGGACCTTCTTAACACAGCCTACACTAAGTTTGAGACGTGGCAATCTAAAAGATCATTGAAGAAATCCTGAAGTTTACTTCTGTTATAGAACTATGATTTACAGTTGGGATACGTATTTGTGTTTTATTTTAATGGTATTCCTTTATATAACAAGGAGATGTGTAGTGTGTGTAGCATGTTGGGATATAAAAACAATTCATAGAGCAATAACAAAGAACAGTGTCATAGGGTGTAAATCAAAGTGGGCTTTCTTGACCAATTATGGTGATTTAATATTTTTGCATGTATTGAAATATTATGAATTAACTAAAGATTGAACAACAAATATAAGGATATGATTTCAGTAAAGAGAAATGTGACAAATGTGATTATTAAATTCTAATCCAGCTCATGGATATTTAGCTTTCAGTGATTTAATCAATGAAAAGACTGTTATATTTTAATGTTATAAACTTCTCTTTTCAGTTTCTTTTTTTTAATACTATTATGTAAACAAATGGAGGTACAGAATAGAGAAAATATATTATACAATTAATTGAATAAGAAACATAAATTGTTCTGTTCTTTTTTCTAAAATTGATGATGAAACATTGCATACTTCTTGCATATGATATAAGATACTGGTGTGTGCTTCAAAAGTTGACCAGATCAAATTATATCTATTAAAAACTTATTTAAACTGTATACATGTAATCATTCAGATCTGAAATATTAAGAAGCTCTAATCTTTCATCAAACAAAAGTTTATTTTTCCTTCTTTATTGCTGTACAAGAATTTGTTTCTATTGAGAAAGCTATACCACTTATATAAATTAATTAATGTAACTCGGATGTTCGAAACTCAGACGTGTTGCATTGTACCAGGTCCTACTTCAAATGATTTTCATTAAATTTTCCACCAGAAATGGGGCTGCAACGTTGCCAATCTTAACATCAGTCCTATGGTAACACTTTCTCACGGTCAATCCAGCTGGTGTATATATATTCCTCAGCTACTGAAACTAACATAACATAACATATATAACATAACATATATTTTATTAGTCTTAAGCACATTAACAGCTCATCGACATTTACATACAATATGACACGTATTTGTAGCATGCGTAATAATTATAATCATATTTACAGAAATAGAAAAACACATACATTATACACAAAACACAAAACACAACGGCTACACACAATAATAAACAGCGAGAATTGACATATTTTTTACAAAAACAGAAAGCTTGGTAAATACGTCATCTTTTATGACACTATTATATTGAAAAGTACACATTCACTGTTCGAACACTAATTGGTCTCTCTAAAAAATGATTGTCTGATTCTAAAAGCCTTAAGAATATATAATGCTAGCTTGATAAGTACATTTTTATTGGTCGAATTTAAAAAGTTCAATAAACTTGTAAAAACACTTGCATGATTACAATAATAGTCACTTATTATACTTCTTTCTGATGTCTCTATATAATTTACATGTTAAAACGAAGTGGAATTCGTCTTCAATGTCATTCATGTCACATAGCATACACTTTCGCTGGTCTCTCGGCACTGCATTTTTCAAAGTGTCTTGCCTTTTCTATCATTAAATCATGCGAACCCATACGTATCTTTGCAATTGCTCGTCTGTATTTCAAGTTATTCAATATTATGAGATATGAGGGAATTTCAAAGTTTGTTTGATTTTCCTTGTATAAATATAACGAAGGACACGTGTTAATATCTATATACCATTCTGCTATGTAAAAGTCTCTTAGTCTCTGTTTCAGAATAGGCGTAAATCTTTCTATACAAACAGATGCTGGGAAAACCATATTTCACCAAAACCAATTGCATTTTAATAAATCTCTCACTTTTAATAACAATTGTCAAATAGCATTTTCAGTCAAATTTAACAGTCTATCAAGCAAAGTATTTAAAATACAATTACTTTTTCTACTGCTCAGTTTTATAAAATATTTTTAACTGCTTTTACTTTTCGATTCGATTATCAAAGGAAACGGCCAGACTCACCATAAACCCCGCACATTACTAGTAGACATTTTTACACCTAGCGTCCATTTAATAAATTTTCTATGCACCCTTCTATGGCACTCCGCACTTGACAGGCCCCATATTTCACCAGAATATGTCAGAATTGAGCTCACAAAAGAGTCAAATAAATTAAACATGATGTTTGTTGGTACTTGCATATTTTTTACCAATGAGAATAACGACCCGACCGCTTTCAGTCCTTTTGCCGCTAGCGTCATTGTTGCTGTTCTAAAGGAACCACCGGATGTAAACACTAGACCTAAATAGTTTGAAACTATTCACTATCTCTATTTCTTCATTGCCGTAATGCCATCTTTCATTTGCAGCTATAATGCCTCCTTTTCTGAAGACCATTAATTTTTAGTTTTTTGGATATTTACAGTTAAGTTCCACTTTTTCGCAGTAACTCTGTAGGCTATTTATTGATGATTGTAAACCTTCAATACTGTCCGATAGAATAACGGCGTCGTCTGCAAATAGGATTAGATTATTAATGATAATTGATCAAGATTTATTCCCGCATTTAAGTTAGATTGTAGCTCCGTTTTCAAGTCATTAATGTACAAGGAAAAAAAAAACGGTGAACATATTTCTCCTTGAAATAGACCGATGTCATTCGTGAAAAAATCTGACAAACTCCATTAAACTGCCTTACACAACATTTAACATTTGCGTATAGCGAACGTATAATTTGAAACAGTTTTCCCCGTCTACACCATTTTTAATGAGTTTCAGGTATAGTGATGAACGGTCAATAAAATCGTTGCTTTCTTCAAATCTAGAAACAGGCAATATAGTCTCATTTTGTTCCTTAGGTGATGTTGGATGACTTCCGTTTAAAACAAATATTGCGTCTGTGGTACTAAAGTTTGACCTAAACCGAACTGTGAATCCGAGATTTTTTCATTTCGTCAGACCATAGTTTAAGCCTATTATTATAATAGAACATAACAATTTGCGAAACAGCTACAAGGGTTATTTCCTCTATAATTATTCGGATCATTTGTCTGACCTTTCTTAAAAATTGGCACAATAATACCTTTCGCCCATTGTTCAGGAATCGTACCCGTTTGTAATATTTTATTGAATAATTTTTCCACATGCGGTAATATTAAGTCGAGGGTTTCTAACAAAATATTCAGACAATAAATTGTCAATCCCGGGCGCTTTATTTCGGTTAACTCGTTTTAGCCGAAGCTAGTATTTCTTCTTTAGTTATAGGATAGTCTAACTCTTCAAATTGACAGTATTTGTACCTAATAACGTGTTTTCGTCAAAACTACTGATAAAATCTTTGAGTTTTCTGTATTATCGAATCCATTTGATAATGATAAGGACTTAAAATATTTCTGGAATTGTTCAAGCGGAATTTCGTTGCTTTTTGAACTGAACTTTTGCTTTTAAATAGTTTCAGAACTCCTTTGGTTTACTGCTTCGCAGTCTGTTCATTTCGGAACACCTTTTGATGTTAAAAGAATGCTTTGCTTTCCGTAAACAGTACTTATAGTCTTTTTTTTCGTTGCAATAAAATCGTTCTATTTTCCGTGGATCTATCACATATAAATTTATGTAATGCATTTTTGATACAATGTTTTCTTTTCACGGCATTCATTGTTAATACCACAATTTACTCTATTTATTGTCCAGTTTCAGTAAATATACAACTCTCGGATATATAACACTTTCTTTTGAAAAACTTTTCGGCTTTCGACAAAATAAAGTCACTGAATTGGTCCACCGTGTCAATTCACTGAACACATTATTATTCTCCATTTGCAGTATAATACCGTTTAAAATTCTATATTTGCGTTCATACTATCTCGAAATTCTTGCCGGTATTCATTATTCCATTTCGAGCAGGTAAAAGATCGCACTTTCGGTTCATATTTGTAAATTATTTACTTCAATTGAAAACGATACTGTAGCGTTGATTGGAAAATTCGTTATATTCGCTCACATTAAAATGTTTCAGGTATTCAAAGTTTGAGAACCTAGTTAACACAAGGTCAATTTCGCTTTCGCCATTTGCCTGTTTATACACGTGAATTTCCCCGGGTCATTGTTTAATCCTTCCGTACAAAATACACATGTTTTACCGTTTTACAAAGATCTAAGAGGTTATCTCCAAAAACGATTTGATCGTTGGTCAAAAGATCGGCGTGGAGGCGGAGAGTCATTCAAGTCGTCCGTTAAATCCTGTTGTTAGCACGCTTTCAAGCTCAATATAATCCTTCTTTTGTCCCACTCTCTGTTAAGGTCCGCCAAATAAAATAGTTCGGCCTAATTCTGAGTATTCTAATACTTCGTTCTGTATTTTTTGAAAAACGTCAAATATATAAATTGTATTACAGATGATTCCGGCGCGATATATGTAAACGCTAGGTACCAATCTTTGTTCCGTATTGAAAAAGTTTTTATCGAGCTTAAGCCAGATAATATAATCGACATTTCATTTTTTATAAGTTTCACTCCTTTTCGGATATTATTTTTAATGTAAATGATAAGCCGCCACTTGATCGTTTGGCTCTTCTGTTTTGAAATCTACGGTATGAATGAATAGGAGCAATTATCCTTTTAAGTCAATTTTTGAAGTTTTTGTAGTCCAGGTTTCGCTTAGACACACAATGTCATACCCTCGATAGTGTTTAAAAAAATCTTTGTTTTCCTTTTTTAGTTTGTCATACCTTCGACGTTCCAACATAAAACATCAATATAATTCTCGCGTTCATCCTATATACTTCCGCCGGCATCCGGCAACGGCCCGTCGGCCCTTGCGTTTCGGCAGTTAATCTCGTGTAGTTTGCCGTCGATATATAATTTTTCCCACGAAATATACGCTTTCTGGTTTCTTGATTTTTGCTGCTTTCATAAGAGGGACAAGCTTGCGTCTTTTTTCCAGAATTTCTTTAGGGTATTTGTGGGCTTTACCCCGTAATGGGTGTCTTTCAAATTGGGCGCTGATTTACGCACCTTTTCTCTGTCATCTTGGGAATTCGAATTTAAACCAGTATTGGTCTTGTTTTACCAAAACCGTATTTTCCAATTCTGAGCGCAGATTCTATTTGATATTATGCTTCGCTTCGTCTATTTTCATGTTTTCTTGCATGATATTAAAGATTTTATCTTTGCATATGTCTGCAGTCTCGTCTTTTTCTTCGGGCACTTTGTAAAACATAAGATTGTTTTGTAAGTCTTTTGCTTTCATTTGCCAGCAGCGTAGCCTGGAATTCATTTTCCTTCTTTTTCTGCATCTCTTGGCTGGCCTCGAGTTTGTTCACTAATTGCTCTATAACTTTTTGTTTTTCTTTTAAGCAGTCGGCGTTATTTGAATCAAAGTCCCTACTCTCTTCTCAATTTCGGACACTTTAATTTCCATGACCTTTACCCTTTTATCGAGCGTATCCATTTTTACCGTTATTTCGTT